TCTATTGTGATGTAACTAATGTCATCTATGACCTCATCAGTGACCTCACTGGACTTCTGGTGCAACATCTTGCTTCTGATCGTTTCCAGAGCAACGATCAGATCAGTTCTGCATAACTCAAGCTGACATAAATACTTAAAGTAATATATTTTAATTTATTTAACATGATATTAATGGATTTGTATATGATTTAATTTTGGCATTTGGTCTTAAGCTATTTATCCACTATTATTTTTAATTATTATTCATTTATCATGATTAGTCATGTATTATTTATTACACAGTGCTAGGAACAGTCTGTGACTTATTAAATGCACTATATATATATATATATATATATATATATATATATATATATATATATATAAAATATATATATATATATATATATATATATATATATATATATATATACATGTACATATATATATATATGTTCAAACATATTTTATATAAATACATGTTGATATATTTATATAAAATATTTTATATTTTGTTTATATATGTGTGTGCATGTGTATTTAGATAGATAGATAGAGAGAGAGAGAGAGAGAGCGAGAGAGAGAGAGAGAGAGAGAGAGAGAGAGAGAGAGAGAGAGAGAGAGAGAGAGAGAGAGAGAGAGAGAGAGAGAGAGAGAGAGATAGATAGATAGATAGATAGATAGATAGATAGATAGATAGATAGATAGATAGATAGATAGATAGATAGATAGATAGATAGATAGATAGATAGATAGATAGATAGATAGATATAGCCTACATATGAATTTCATATGTAGGCTATATCTATCAGGGTCCTTCCTTTCTTCAATGTCCTTCCTTTCTTCAGGGTCCTTCCTTTCTTCATGGTCCTTCCTTTCTTCATGGTCCTTCCTTTCTTCATGGTCCTTCCTTTCTTCATGGTCCTTCCGTTCTTCATGGTCCTTCCTTTCTTCATGGTCCTTCCTTTCTTCATGGTCCTTCCTTTCTTCGGGGTCCTTCCTGTCTTCATGGTCCTTCCTTTCTTCATGGTCCTTCCTTTCTTCATGGTCCTTCCTTTCTTCAAGGTCCTTCCGTTCTTCATGGTCCTTCCTTTCTTCATGGTCCTTCCTTTCTTCATGGTCCTTCCTTTCTTCATGGTCCTTCCGTTCTTCATGGTCCTTCCTTTCTTCATGGTCCTTCCTTTCTTCAAGGTCCTTCCGTTCTTCATGGTCCTTCCTTTCTTCGGGGTCCTTCCTGTCTTCATGGTCCTTCCTTTCTTCATGGTCCTTCCTTTCTTCATGGTCCTTCCTTTCTTCAAGGTCCTTCCGTTCTTCATGGTCCTTCCTTTCTTCATGGTCCTTCCTTTCTTCATGGTCCTTCCTTTCTTCATGGTCCTTCCGTTCTTCATGGTCCTTCCTTTCTTCAGGGTCCTTCCTTTCTTCATGGTCCTTCCTTTCTTCAGGGTCCTTCCTTTCTTCATGGTCCTTCCGTTCTTCATGGTCCTTCCTTTCTTCATGGTCCTTCCTTTCTTCGGGGTCCTTCCTTTCTTCAGGGTCCTTCCTTTCTTCATGGTCCTTCCTTTCTTCAGGGTCCTTCCTTTCTTCATGGTCCTTCCTTTCTTCAGGGTCCTTCCTTTCCTCATGGTCCTTCCTTTCTTCATGGTCCTTCCTTTCTTCAGGGTCCTTCCTTTCTTCATGGTCCTTCCTTTCTTCAGGGTCCTTCCTTTCTTCAGGGTCCTTCCTTTCTTCGGGGTCCTTCCTTTCTTCAGGGTCCTTCCTTTCTTCAGGGTCCTTCCTTTCTTCAGGGTCCTTCCTTTCTTCATTGTCCTTCCTTTCTTCATGGTCCTTCCTTTCTTCAGGGTCCTTCCTTTCTTCAGGGTCCTTCCTTTCTTCGGGGTCCTTCCTTTCTTCATGGTCCTTCCTTTCTTCAGGGTCCTTCCTTTCTTCATGGTCCTTCCTTTCTTCAGGGTCCTTCCTTTCTTCAGGGTCCTTCCTTTCTTCATGGTCCTTCCTTTCTTCAGGGTCCTTCCTTTCTTCATGGTCCTTCCTTTCTTCAGGGTCCTTGCCTTGATTGTAACGATCCGTAAGTTTTTTCATCCCTGTGTTTATCACATAGCCAATGCCCCAGCCCAGGGGGATTAACATGGGAACAAGTCCAAACATGATTTTTCTGTGCAACTGTCACTCTGTAAAAAACAGTCTTGATCTGGCTGATACTTTCAGATTCAATCATTTAAGCATCAGAACCTCTTTGATCTATTGTGATGTAAATAATGTCTTCTATGACCTCATCAGTGACCTCACTGGACTTGTGGCGCAACATCTTGCTTCTGATCGTTTCCAGAGCAACGATCAGATCAGTTCTGCATAACTCAAGCTGACATAAATACTTAAAGTAATATATTTTAATTTATTTAACATGATATTAATTGATTTGTATATGATTTAATTTTTGCATTTGGTCTTAAGCTATTTATACACTATTATTTTTAATTATTATTCATTTATCATGATTAGTCATGTATTATTTATTACACAGTGCTAGGAACAGTCTGTGACTTATTAAATGCACTATATGTATATATACACACACACACACATATATATATATATATATATATATATATATATATATATATATATATATATATATATATATATATATATAAAGCAACACTGATGCAAGATAAAGAAGTTTCACTTCAACATATATTGTAGGTTTGTGTTGCTGTTGGGTTAATTTTAAACTAAAACATGTTTGTTCTTCATTAATCAAGTTAATCACATTTAGTAGAGTATCCAGAACGTTTATTCAAGTAAAAGTAGCAATATTTGAAAGTACTCCTAAAAGCATCCATCCATCCATCCATCCATCCATTCCATCGCCTTCCGCTTATCTGAGGTCGGGTCATGGGGGTAGCAGCTTCAGAAGGGAGGCCCAGACTTCCTTCCTTCTCCACAGAGCTGGAAATTCTTCTAGCTCTTCCGGGGGAATCCCAAGGCATTCCCAGTCCAGCTACGAGACATAGTCTCTCCACCAGGTCCTGGGTCTTCCCCGGGGCCTCCTCCTGGTGGGAGGTGTCCGGAACACCTCACCAGGGAGGCGTCCACCTGACCAGATGCCCGAGACTCAACTGGCTCCTCTCGATGTGAAGGAGCAGCGGTTCTACTCTGTGTCCCTCCCGGATGACTGAGCTTCTCACCCTCTCTCTATGGGAGAGCCCAGCCACCCTACGGAGGAAACCCATGTTGGCCGCTTGTATCCGTGATCTCGTTCTTGGGTCATGAGCTTTGGCCATGACCCAAAGCTCATGACCATAGATGAGGGTGGGAACGTAGATCAACCGGTAAATCGAGACCACCCATGAGAGGGGTGAAAGGGGTCGGGTGCAGTGTGTGATGGATGGCGGCCAAAGGAGGGGCCCTGGCAGTTTGATCCTCGGTTGCAGAAGCTGGCTCTTGGGATGTGGAATGTCACTCCTAAAAGTAATTTCTTTTTTTTAAATTTGAGCCACAAGTTGTTCTTAAGATGGCCTGACCACTAAAGGGATGCATTTCTGAGATTTTTTTTTTTTGTTAATATAAAAATCACCTATTATTTTTCTTGTGCTGATCTATGGACTCATAAAATACAATAAAATGTGTTTGTGACAAAATTCAGAAATGTCAAGTTGCATGGATACTTATACAAGCTGCAGAAGAATTAACACACCAACATAAGTAATTAAACAGTTCAGATATTATGTTTAAGGCTATCATGAGCAAACACACATCATCTGAGTCCCAGGAAAAAGAAAATTCTGAGAGCTGGAGTAATCCTGGCAATGTGGCAGTGATGTTTTCCTGCTATTCTTTCCTGCCTAGTCTCTGCATTGCAGGAGGCGGCTCACGTTGCTGACCATCACAGCCTGATTATTACCCAGGGAACACTTTGCAGAAATTGTCACAAATCTTCCTGTGATTCACAAAACATTATTTTTCTTCTATTCCCTGCAACTTGTAGAGTTGCGTAGTTACTACCCACGGTGTGTGAGAGTCGCCATGAGCTGTTTGCACCCACCGTCAGTCTGCCAGCATCTGGAACACAACATCCTGTCCTCCACAGGACATCTCCACATCTCAAAACTTTACATTGGCACTCAAAGCGATGGCATTGCTTTAAATACCCACAGGTCTTACTTTTTTTTTTTTTTTTTTGAAGGATTAACATTTGATTTTATTTATGCAAAAAGACAGACCAGTCAATGTAAATTATCTCCGTTACTATTGTGCTGCACTGCCCTCTACAGTTCAAGGTGAAAAAGACAGCAGAGACAAGAGAAATCACAAAAAACTGGAGAAAATAAATTAGGACATCTTTTCATTTATCTGATGTAGACTGTTCCAACTTTAACACAAAATCCTTGATCATGTACAGTAAAAGTCTGGAAATTGATAAAAGGTTTTTAGAATATTAAAATTGTAGTTGAATTTAACATTTTATTAGAAAGCATTGGTTGACCTTTGGTTTTTAGTTCAAAATTAGAGATTGACACATCATCATCATTTAGTGGCTTAACCAGCTGAAAAATTCCTATGCCATTTTTTTAAGCCTCAGATTGTCCTTAAAGGCATCGACTCGATATTCTGGGGGGATTTTAAAAAAGTAAATCAAATAGAAATTTAAACAAAAACCCAAAGCAAATCCAAAAGTGAAGTAACATGAAGAGCCTGCCAGGGGCAAACACCGCTCCAACTTAAAAAAATACAACAATTTGCCCTAATGCCAAGTGAAATAAACAGGACAAAACTAAAATATCTAGAAAGCATTGAGAAACAAAAGATATACATCTTAGGGGGGGGGGAGGAAAGTACATGTATATACACAAAGTTACATTTTATTCCAGTAGTTTTTGCTAGTAGATTCAGAGTCTTGAAGAGAAATACAAACAGGTTGGACAAGAGATGGACAACTCACTTCACCGTTTCTGGGAAAGTATATCATGTTGAACTCTAGACATACCGAAACACTAAACAGAAAAAAAAAAATGAACCCGTCAGTAAAATTGTAAGTTTACATTTATTTATTGAAGGGCAACACAATTCATAAATACTGAGCAGCTTGTTGGTACATTCAGACCAAGTGAAATGAAATCCTCAAAAGCAGAATGAAAACAAAATCAAATCTAGTTCAAAACAGGAAAGTTGCAGATTCTCATGTGTTAAATGCAGATTTACAGTCTCATACAACCAAGCAGCAACATGTCGGCTTGAGTCAAACTAATCTAGAGTCACGATCAAGTGGTTTCATAACTGTATAACTCCTGTTAAAGCTTTGTTCACCACACTATAGTAATCGCTCTAATAAACTGCAGATCCAAGCAGACGTTGAAGCCGTTTTAAAAAGTCAAAAAGGGTTTAAATGTGTCAGATGACGTGTTGATTCCTTTTCTTACATAAAGACAGATCTTTTTTTTTTTTTTTCCCCCTCTCCAACACGTTCACTCCACATCCATTGTTCATAAATCATAGTCCATCTCCAGGTCCAGCATCATCACCACAGAGATCTGATCCAACGGCAGCTTGGTTTGACAGCATGATGGGAACTCTGATCGGAGGCACATAAAGGCTGAGCTTTGCAGGACTCAAAAAATACCTTTAAGATTTTGGGTTAGGCAGAGGGCGCCGGAACAGCAAGATGTGAGGTTCTGGAAGGTGAAAGACGCAGAACAAAACATGTCAAATACAAAAATACAAAACAGCTGACATCAAACCTTTAGACACGTTGGGGCTCAACATCCTTTGCAGAACCAATAATATTATGGTCAAGTTCAGTCCTCCACAGCTACATAATCAGATTTCCAAACAGATTCCTGCTCTAAACACACCTGGATCCCATCAGACACTCAGCTCTACAGAGGCCTGCTAATGAGTCAGTCGGTCGATCAAGATGTGACGCATTTGTCATCGTCATTCCGTCATACACATATCGGCAAGTCAAGAACTGGACTTGGGCAGACCCAGTGTTAAGATCATATATGGGTGAAACATTGAGAGAGACTGTATTATGCAGGAGTTAACAGAGGAGCCTCTACTGGAACCCTAATCTGCTCCACAACAAGTTGGGTTTCAATATAGAAACTCATTTAAAAACAGAACCACGCCCAGGCTTGTATCAGACACTCAAAAAAAGATGAAACTCTGAAAACAAAGAATCTTGTTTCAGAATAATAGACATCTTGAAGTGGAAAGAACAAGCAAATCTCAAGAAACTTTGATGCACTGAGGTGATTTAGGGGAGGAAAAAAAACCTTAAGGGAAGGGCAGTTTTAGGCAGCTGAGAGAAAATTTTTCATTGTACAGTTTTTTTAAATCACAAAAGCAATAAAATTTTACTACATCCAATTATTAACGAAAAACTTGGATGAAAAAATAGAGGGAAATTAAGAATTTAATCTATTCAAATGCCTTGACAAGCTCATCTTTCAGCCAGCAAATATGTTCATTGAGGAAAGATTGCATTTCACTGAGAACTGAAAAAGTTTTGCATCTACAAGTTTAAGAAAACTTAGACGCATCTTTTGTAAACTGCATCTACAGAAAAAAAAGTATATAATCTAACATCAATACTACCAGTACAAGCATGCACAACCAAAATAACCAAAGCTTAAACCTCTTCTTGGGTCTTGACACATTGCACTCAGTTGTAAACACTTCCACTCCAACCCAACTTCGTTTTGTTGCTGTGCACGTTTCATGTATCGCCGTTTTGCTTGCCTCCCAATCGATTACAATAGTCACAATTCAGATGCAGAATTTCTCAAATTGGGGGAAAACTGAATGTCTGGAGGTAAATTCCTTTTTGATAGACCCATCACTTAATTGCATTAGAGATTTTTAAATTTTTTTCCACACCACAACAACCACAGTAGTCAGAGTAGCAAATCATAAGTGCCAACATTTCTCAAAGTAGACACTGCATACATCAATCGAAACCAAAGATAATTTATAACCCATCTTTATTAATTTCAGAACATAAGTCCTGCCGCAACCACGTTATAGTTTTATAGTGAAGTAATTGTTTAATAAGCCAGACAACATAGGAGAAACATACCTGTGCATTTCACTTAATTTTTCACCTTTTTTATTAACAGGTTAATCAAGCAGCATGGATAACTGCATTTTAGTATTCAGAACCCGGTAGTTATGTTAAGGTGTGGATCTAAACACATGGTCTCCATCAAGACTAGAACTTCCACATGTGACTTGTATGGAAAAAAGAAACTGAAATAAGCAAGGGTAAAGTCAGAAATGTGGCCGTGTAAAGGTAAATATATGTCCCAGCTAACTCCAAGCATACCTGGTTGATGGATCATGTAATGCACCCATCCCTGGCTCTGCTGGACCCCCAGGTTCCTCCACTCGGTCTCAGACATCAAGTGGGTCTTGGGTACACGTTTTGCGATGTCTTTGGGCAACATTACATGTCTGCAGAACGATACAACATTAGAATAAACTGGACGCCTGTTCAGGTCGTGTTGGGTTGCCAGCTTCAGTAGTATGTCATGCAACAGTTGGGCCAACAAATGTCAATCATGGAAGTTAAAAACTATGAATAAAGCCTACCTGTATTCGTATTTGTCGTCGTCATATTTGTCAGAGTAGTAGATCTGTTTGTGAGACATGGCGGAGGCCTGGAAATAAGTTTCAGCCGTTAGTTAGCGTCCAAAGTAAAACTAGGCTAAGCAGCGTGTTAGCAGCAAGTTTCAGTAAAGCCAGCGCAGCTAAGCTAACGGCTTTAAGTTAGGCATGAACTGGTGAGACATGTAAACAACAAAACATGATTTAACTGTTGTGAACGACTGTGGAATGACTCTTAAACTTACCGTACGAAAGTACAAAGTTACTCTGGTCGAAAAATAACCAATTTGTATAGTTATTCACGTCCGATAATAGCAGGATGTTCGCTCTCTCTTTGTTTCCCTCTCGACTATTTTCAAGCCCGCTTGACTCTGTTCAAAAAGACATGGCTTCCCCTCATTGGTCAACCAGAAGACCAAGCTTACCTTTCATTGGCTGCTGTGAGAGTGAAACTCGATTTCATTGGCTAATACATTCTATCAGCGGGAATAACGTAGTTTCCATCTGACTTTCCCATTGGCCAGCACAATTTGGTCGTGGACGTAAAACTAAATAAAACTTGCGATTTTCTTCATTTATTTGACAACTTCAGTCCCAAATTAATCGGAAACTAAAAATTAAAGCTCATCACGTAATGAAGCTTAAAGTCTGCTCTATTTGCAATTAGTTTAGTAGTTGAAAAAGTACAGATGTTTTATAATTTGCATTTAAAACGATTTAATTTTTACTTTCAAATCGATTACCATCTGTGTCACAACAGGAGGCATTTTCTACAATACATAGATCTGTAAATACTAGCACTTGTTTTTTTTTCTTTATTTGATATTGTCCTCTACACCTAAAAAAATCCAATTGTTCCATCTTTGACACTGGTTGGTCAAACTTCTATTATTTTTTAATTATTAGTAAGAAAATAAGATTCTTGTGAATTAAAAGAAATAAAGGGAGTGTTTTGTTTATGGTTATTTTCTGTCCAGTCATTTGAGACTATAAGATCTCAATCTGATACCAGTAGTTTTAAGCACAAACATGTGTAACATGTGTAGTAGGGGGCATGGACCAACTTTCACATCTACTGACCACTTACAGTGCTAACCCCACATTTTGTTTTGGGACAATGAGAGGAAGCTTGGACGCCTTTGGAGAATCCATGCATGCAATTTATTTTATTGATATAGACCGGCACAAAGTAGAACATTTAAGACTATCTTTTCAAATAAAAATTCTGAAAAGTGAATTGTGAAAAATGCCATGCAATTGCATTCAGCCTCATTTTACTGTTTTACCTTAAGTAAAATCGGCCATTTTCTCTCTTTTCTTTACCAAATGGCATATCTTAAAGTAACAAGAGGCACAGGACATACAATCACATACCTGACCTGAATTAAGATAGATCAACCTCTGCAGAAAAAGCATAGGCCAGGATTCTGTACAGCAACATAAACACATATTCACATTGACCCAGTTGTACAGAAACATTAATCTTTCCATCATCAGCTTTCCCAACCCTTTGAAGCATTCGCAAAGCATTCATAGGAAGGATCAAGAAAATTTTGGACAATCCTGACCATCCTCTTCACGAGACTGTCTTGGGAAGGGAGACCATCCTCAGTCAGAGGCTTCCTCAGATTCAGTGCAGTGATGGGCCGCCTCAGTCAACAGCCATAATGATCTTCAATAACTCTTTGAAGAATCTAAGTTAATGAGTTACAACAGCATTTAACATTTATTTATTCCCTTTGGGATTAATAAAGTATTTTTGAATTTGAATTGACTTTTGAATTTGAATGATTCTGCCACCATACTTGTTGGTGGGTGAGACAAACTGAAGACAAGTCGTATAGTATTTTTCATTTCAGACAAAAAGCTAGAATTTGATTTTATCTGACTAGCTCTTATTCTCACACCCCCAACATAATGCAAATGGTCTTTTGCTTCTGCACATTTAACCTGCTATGTTAAATGTGCCCAGAAATATTTTTGACTGGAATAAGTTAAACATGAAAGACTCTCTATATAGTTTTATCACATTGTTTACATACTTTGATACAGATCACAATGTTGTAGAAGGCAGAAAAGTGCTTGTCACAGTCTGAACGCTAAACACACTAATTATAGAGGATAAGGAATCAGATGATGAAACCAGTGTCCACTCTGCAGCAACCGGATCGGTGGTGTTGTCCACTCTGGTAAGTCCCACAGTCAAATATAGCTGTGCAGACGTGTCAGTGAGCCGCTGGTCCGTTCCGCCTCTCCCTGCTGTGTATAAATATGTGTGCACACTTGCAACCTTGGGGTCGGGGTCACACATGAATCTGTATTATTATAAACCCAGGAGAAGAAGCCCCGTCCATCACCTGCCGCTTTTTTCACCTGCGTGCGTCAATCACGTCCCGTTCGAGACGCGGCGCTTCTGCCTGAGTGGTTCAGCCTTCGTCCGGGGGCGGGCTCTCCCTGGCAGATCCTGAAATCCTATTGGCCGAGAGGGCTCCTTGGTTGACGTGACGCAGCTTGGAATTCCCAAAGTTCCCAAGTTCACAGGAGAAGAGCGTTGATTTTAGGAGTAAGCAAGAGGTTTTGGAGGAAAAATCAGCTAGCGACTGGAGCATAAGCAGGTTTGTGTCAATAAGACGTCTTTTTTCGGGTGTAGCTCGGCGTTCTCGACGCTCCTGCTCGCTGCTGGGCCTGAGTGGGAACGCGGAAGAGTGGGAGTGGGAATGTTCAGGCAACCATCCTTTGTTTACCATCAGGAGTGTACCTTCAAATTGGTTGCTACAACAACCGCAGCCCGTAAAGTATGTCTAGTTTGATTTAAACGGAGCCGTTGCACCCCTGAGCCTGCGGGTTAGTGAGTATGTGTCTCTATTTGCCTGTTTTTGGATCAATGAGCTGCTCCAAGCTGAGCTTTCTCCATCTTTGGTCATTGACCTGCCGCTCACAACTGTCTGGCTGAATGGATGTAGATGAATTGCTTGTCTGTTGATATTGAGTCAGGTGTTTCGCTTGTTTGTTTTTTTTTTCCCTTCTTAATTTCACTGCGCAGCTGTGCATTATGGATGCCACCATCCCATTACATAACTGGAATCGGGCACAATCAGCTCTTTATCCCGCCTGAGCTCCGAATTGTTGCTTAAACCTTTCTTAGGTTGCACAATTGTGTCCTTTTAAATAGCAGTTTGCATAATCACCTCAAACACTGCATGCATTGTGGGAGAATGTGCCTATTATAATTAGCATTTTTCCTCTACTTTAAAACCACGCACAACATATGCAGTACTGTTACAAAAAATATCACAGCCAGTTTATTGAGTTAGGATAATTTGCTTGAAAAGATTAGTGCCATTTCGACATGTCCACTGAGGACACGTTGTTGCTTTCGTCATGTGCAGGATATTATAAAGGTGAATCTGTGTGGTGCTGTGCCAACCTGAGCCTCCAGAGGGCGATGTCTGACAGCAGCAACAGCACAGGCAGCACTGGCTCCTCCACCAACAGCTGGACCCTCCTCTCTCCTGAGGTAAGAACCAAACTTTAGCAGCCACGCACTGACAGGAAGTCCAAATCCTTTGGCTTAGCTTCATCACATCTTAGTCAGAACTTTAAGTGAAGCAGCTGTTTACAGGACAACAGGTGACTGTGCCGGTTTATTGCTGACTGATATTTTCAGTTTTCAAAAACTCCACAGTCTCCAAAATAATGGAGATTCAACAACATGCTGTTTCTTTTCTCACTTATTTCTTTATTTTGTCTTTATTTCACTTCAACCCAGACCTGGCCTAAACCACAATTCTCAGTGTTGACCTGAATATAAATGAACAGATAAAAATTGCACCATTAAGTACACCACTTAATATTGCTTAATTTCAGTGAGGGAAAACGGTTGTATGTTCTTATATGCTGTACGTAAGTAGATACGGTGGTAGTAGAAGAAGATTGAGCTCTTGCATTTCAATGTTGGCCTCATCAAAACACCTCTGAATTCAATTTTGCCTTTACTGGTTTCTTTGGCTTGTAAAATATGGATAAATATACTATCTTCGTGTGTCGTAAACATACTGGAATTTTATTTCCAGTATGGGGAGGATGAAAAAATAAAGCAAATTGATCACTTATAAAAGTTGGGTCACAAGGCTTCAGGTGATGTTTAAAGCAAAGGGAAAGGCAAAGATTTTGAGTTACATCAGAAAGCGTACACATACATAATATTTCAACTTGAAATATTATGTATGTGTGATTATTTCAGCTTATTCATGTTGTAAACTTAACTCCTAACCTTTTTTCTTTTTTTCTTTTTTTTTTGGAGGATTTCAAACTTAAATATACTCATAAATGGATTCATTTGTTTGTCCAGTACAGGGCTCACATATTTGCTTTAGTCAGACTGACTTTCATTGTTGAAAGAGGTAAAAAAAAAAAAAAAGCTTCAGGCCATTGGCTCCAACTCATCTGACTTTAAAGCCCACTATCAGTCCTTAATGAGCAGCCACAACCAAAATGGATAAAAGCTTTGAATCTTTAATTCTGTCCCTGGAAAGATGGCGCTATTTTAATTAAATGTCTTATTGTGTTAGTATGGCAACATACATATAATGACAAAACCATAACGACCAGCAGGGGGCGATGTTAGAGAGGAAAATGTTGTCTTTTACCTTTTAATGCTTAATTAAAAGGTTTTGTATTTGAGTTGTAACCAAAACACTTCCATAGCAACCGCTTTTTTAAATAAGAGATCCAATCATAGTTTTATGCACAAGCATAAAATAAAGAACACCAACTACTGATGAGTAGCTTATGAAAGACAACTTAATAATCTCCTATAAAAACCTATTGAGTCACAACAAATTACTGAACATATAAACAATAAAGAAGATGTTTGTTTCTCTGCATTAAAAAAAAACAGGTACAAAGAATTATTTGGGGAAAAAAAAGAATTCATATTAAGCTTTTTTGAGTTTTGCTTTTTCACTGCATCTATGACAACCAACTCTAATTTAATATTAGTATTAAAAAAATTGCATGCAGTCTTTGCCTACCTGCGTTTCACCACACTCAATTAGCACATGTAAACAAACAATCCGGTTCTTCTGTGGTTTGGAGGTGATGGGTGTCAAGTCATCAGAATATTTGGGCAACCAAAGACCCAAGACTTCTGAAAACAGAACAAAGCTGCTCCAGAGCATTTAAGATGCAATTTCCTCTCCTGTTTGTTATTGTCATCCAGTTTACTGGTCAGGAAAAGAAAATAAACTGAATTAGAGTGATGCAGAGAGTTTTCAAAAATAGAAAATGCTGTAGTTTCTTATTTTTATTGAAAATGTAAGAAAGTATTTTAATTTAGTTTATTTTAGGGTGAGTTTTA